TCAGACTTACCCTCGGTGCTGGGTCTGCCACGCCTGTGGGCGAAGGCTGCTCCATGTGGGGGGGCGTTGTCCCGATCGGTGGCAGTAGATGAACTCCCGAGCCATGTACTGTACGATCTGCGTCGTCATCCTCTCCATCTGGCGGGTCAGGCATCGTCTGCGTGGCCGCCGGGGGGACACCGCGTTCCTGGGCGGGGGGAACGGAGCGGCATCCGGGCGCCCCCTTGAAAGGTGGGAGACTGCCCCGGAGGGGGCAGGCCCACCAGACGGCTTGAGCCAGGCTACGGAGTTTTTACCTACGCATAACAGCAAAAGATGTCCATCCAGATTGAGATCAACGATATCTCTCCGACAGTGGCAGCGGGGCAGTTCATCCCGCGGCTGCATCGGCAGCGACGGCGGCCTCCTGGCCTCGGCTGCAGCGCGGCCCCCTGCGGCGCAGGACGCTCCCATCACCCAGCTCGGCCACTACGTGCTCGTTCTCTCCCTCGCTGTTGTGTTGTTCCTTGTTGCTGGCAGCCCGGCAGAGATGGGTCCTTACCTGGAGCGCGAGGACAGCTACATCCCAGGCTGGGATGCTGGGATGGCAACATTGCATCGTGGATGAATTACCCGGAAGAGGTTCGCATCTGGACGCTCGGACTGAATTTGGATGTACAGTAAAGTATCGCAGCGAGGGTGATCAGGAAACTCAAGGGAGCAGCTCGCAGAAAGGCCCTGACGCTCGCTCAAGAATGAAGATCTGCAGCCATACCGAGGTCAAGAAGTGCCAGGCGACCCACCTGACGGCAAGGGGAAACAGAAAGGCGAGATCATCACTGAAAGCAGTCCCCCAGACCTGGAGCGAGGCACTCGCAATTTGATGGAGGCGGTCGAGTCCCTGCGCCCGCCGAAGGTGCGCAGAGAGGGGGGGCCGTGACAGACTGCTTCGAGGCGCAGAAGTATGCGCTCAGTGCGGGCACCAGAATCTCGGATTAAATCGCGATGATTGGCCAAGGAGTGACGAAGAAGCTTTCCGAGGACGGTGTCGAGCTCACCGAGGATTATGATATCTTAGGTTGGTTCTTCATGCGGCGGCCCACCATTGCTAAGGGACAGAGAGCGGCCCATGGCAGCACTACCGAGTGAGACCTTTCAGTTGCGAGAAGTTCAAACCAAAGCGATGCGGATTGCTTAGGGCATTCATATCAATGGGCGCGGACATCTACAGCGGCGACGACCATTCGAGCAGAAGAAGCAGCGGAAACGCGGCGGCAATGGACGGGCGCCGCCCAAGTCAGTCAACGTGACCGAATACATGGATGACGACGGCTACGAGGACGACGAGGCCGACGAGGACGGAGTCGAGGAGCTGGCGCAGCGCGAGCTGTAGGCCCTGGCCACCGACCTCGGCGACGCCAACAAGGAGGAGCTCGACCACGACCAGGCCGAGGCAGTTGAGAAGGCGGCGGCGCAGCCTTCGGAGTTGCCCGAGGCGCTCGCCACGGTCCGCCAGGCCCGCGACAGCCTCACGTAATTAGGGCGGTTCATCTGGCTCTGGAGGTGCTGCAGTTGCCCCGCCGTCGAGGTCGGGGCGCGGCCGTGGCCGACCTGTCGCGGGCTGGAATCCAGGGCGGAGAGCCAAGTTCAAGCCGAGCAAGGACACGCTCGATAAGCAGAAGAAGAACTCCCAGTGCCGCGTGCGTGACGGTTAGGGTCACTGGGCTGGCGACCCAGAATGCCCCGGCGCACAAGAGGCCCAAGCGGCGACGGCTGGAGTGGGCGACGACGACGAGGAGATTGACGTCCTAGCGGTCGAGATGACATTCCCACTCGCCGTGCTCCAGAAAACGGTGGTCACTGGCCCGTCTCCGATGCGCAAGAAGGGCGCCGTCGACCCGGAATGCGCCAGGAGCGTGATGGGCACGCCGTGGTGGGATGACTCCTACGGCCACCTGAAGTCGCCAGGCCTCGAGAAGCTCGTGACCTTCGAGTCCGTGAGCGAGACCTTCAAGTTCGGCGATGGCGGTGCGAAGGATTATGCTACCTGGTGAGGTTCCTCGTGGCGGCGGCGAAGGTACCGCGTCTTATCAAGGCGTACTTGCTGGACGTTATGGGGCTCAGTCTCCTCCTGGGCCGCGACTACCCGGAGTCCGTGCATGCCGAGATCGAGCCCTCACCGCCGAGAAGGATCACCACTGGGCCTCGTAAGGCCGAATTGCCCCAGGTTCGGCTTACTGGACACTACATGCTGGACTTGAACCCCGACGATTACCACGTGCTGTGCAGCCGCTCCAGGGGAATAATGTCGCCGACGAGCTACCTGAGGCTTTCACCGAGGACCACGGATGGCAAGACGGCGTCAAGGATCATGGCGATCGCGCCTGGAGCTCAGGCTGCCACCTCAACCTGCGGTCAGAGGCTCGGCCAGGCCGTGAAGGCAGCGAAGGAGGCCACCAGCGTCAATGAGACCCAGAACACAAAGAAGGTGACGTTCTATGACAGGCCGCCCGGAAACCACGATTGTTATATATGTGATAACCTAGCTACCTTCACTTGCGCATGTCGCACCGGCACACCCGTGAGTTGTGAACGCCAAGGTCCTGCCCGAACTACAAGTAAGATGTGGACATGGTGGGCTTCGTCGAGGGAGACTACTCGAACCTCCTTTCAGAAAGGCAGGTAGCGCTTCATGAAGCGAGGCCAGCAGAAGCATAACCTTGCCGGGATCACAAAGGCCAAGACGCTACACGACCACATCGTGAGACCGAACAAGGTGAAGAAGCTGATTCAACTCGAACAAGCAGATCAAGTTCATGGGCAGGCAGTTGGAGCTATCCGGCGAACACGCCCAAGGAGCCATAGCCTGTTCGAGCTAGCGCGTGAGCCCAATAGCCTACTAGGGAGAGAGTTCAACGCCACTGGCAGACATGATCGAACCTTCCGAGTTCACCTAACTAAATGCGACCCTCGGAAGAGAGGAACCGCGGAGGGCATACTGGTGAAGATCACGAAGGAGAAGAAGCTTGTCAGGATACCAGTGCTTTGGATCAGTATCCCGTGTACTCCGTGGTGCGCGTACCAGCGGATCTGCATTTCAGGGCGCCGGCCCAACGCGTTCGCTTTAGAATGGCCCGACAGGAGAATGATAAGATCTTGCGCAACATACTTTGGCTCTTGAGGGAGCTACGACCGACCTCATGCAGTTCCTACGGGCTTCGAACTACCTGTCGTGAGCGACATGCGGAATGACAGGTTCAAGCCGAAGGACCTCTCCCAGATTCAAGACATCCTTGGACTACGAGCTGTGTTTGACGGATGTCGGTATGGCATCAAGACCAGTAAGGGGGAGCCCATTCGGAAAAAAAACGTTCAGGGACCTGACGAACCATCAGCCCACAGTCGACGAGCTCCACAAGAAGTGCGACGGGAAGCACGTGCACGCGAAGGTGGTTGGCGGAAAGGACCTTACCCAGACCAGCCGCTACACCGTCCCACCCGTGAAGGACATCGCCTCAGGACCGCGAGCAATTCGCCGCGGCTGCGACGTGATGCCGGTGGCCCACGACTGGGAGGTCACTGCTCGCGCCAAGGCGGTCCTCGACGCCATGGGCCCGGCAGGGCGGGCGCAGCTCGAGCGCGCGGCCAAGCTGGCGCGCGCCAACGCCGGCCACCCGACCAACGCCAGCCTCGCGAGGACCATCCGCTTGCAGGGCGGCTCGGCCGAGGCGATCGCGGCAGCTGGAGCTCACCGCTGCCTCGACTGTGAGAGGCGAACATCTCCGCGCCTGCAGATCTGAGGTCCAAGTTCCGCGACGTTGGCGATGGAGTCGCTGCCGACCTGATGGCCCTCGCCGATGAAGGGCAACGAGGCTCAGCTGCAGAACAACCTCGACATGGCCGCCGCCTTCCAGTTGCTGGCACCGCAGGCCGACAAGAAGCCCGTCACATCGTGGACGACGCTTCCTATGAGGTGGATGGGCTGGGCTGGCCCGCCCCAGGCGAGCATCGCAGACCTCGGAGGCGAGTTCGAGAGGGGGTTCCGCAGCGAGCTCGAAGGCATGGGTTCCGAGCTCATCGCCACCGCCGCCCTGGGTCCAAGGCAGAACAGCATCTGCGAGCTGCGCAGCGGCGAACGGAAGTACAACGCGAAGGCCATCATCGACGAGTACCGTATCGATTTCACAGCCCCAGGCGCCTTGGAGTGGCTCTGCACTGTGGTCAACTGGGCGAAGCACAGCAAGGTGGGGCCGTCTGGACACAGCCTGGCGCAACGGGCGCTTGGTCGCGGCAACCGCCTGCCCTACAACATCCTCTCCAACCACGCGAGGCTCTCGCTCCACCAGCGCACCCGGGGCGACCAGACGTTCCAGCAGCGCGCGGGCATGCTTGCTGCCGCTCAGCGCGCGGCCAAGGAGGTCGAGTACGACCGTCGACTCTCGGCGGCCTTCCTGGCCAAGAGCCGTGGGCAGGCTGCGAGGCCATCGAGCCTCGCATTCAGCATCGGCGACCAGGTCTACCTCTGGCGCGGCCTGAACAAGGCCAAGAAGATGCGGAACTTCAAGTGGCATGGCCCTGGAGTCGTCATAGGCTACGAGGGGAACAACGCATGGGTTTCGCATCGGAACGCTACCCTGAAGCGCTCCCCGAAGCACCTGCGGCCGGCGCTTCCCGAGGAGCGCGTGCCCTGGAATGAGATCTTCGACGCTCTGGCCCGCAGCGAGGAGCCCGACTTCGAAGCGGACGCGCCCTACATGGATGACCCCCCGGGGCCGACGCCGATTACTACGACATGACCGTCGACGAAGAGCAGATCCCTGGCCCGACAAATTCAATTCCCGACCACGGGAAGGCGTCAGACTGGGAAGCGCAGTGGACGTTTTGGCTACCGTCCCCATGGTTCGGCCAAGGAGGAGACCCAAGGGCCCCCACCCGATTTTGACGCTTCGGGCCCTGATGGGTCGGCGAATCTAGGGGCGAAGCGACCGCAATTTGCTTCAGAGCCTGAGATTGAGATTCCAATGGAGCCGCAGCCAGTACAGCCACCGCAGCAAGAGCCAGAGCCAGTTTCGGTGGAGCCCGAGACTCCTGTCGAGCAGCCGATGTTCGACCAGGAGCAGCTCCTGCAAGCGCATTCCAGTCAGGTTCCGGACGCCTTCGACCCATATCTGTACGAGCAGGAACCCGAGACCCCGTGGGTCCACCAGGGCGCCCCCGACTTCGATGAGGACCTCGACGCAGAGGAAGAGCAGGAGACGCCACGTCCGCAGCAGCAGCAGGCGCCCGCACCGGAGCCCGAGACTCCAGTCGTGGAGGAGCGTCGTCAGCTTCGGCGATCTCGCTACGACCAACTCACTGACGTGCCTACCAGCATTCGGCAGAACCTCGAGGCAAGGAGGAGGGCCACGACCTACGACCCGCTCAACGTGCCGCACAGCATTCGACGAGCGCTGCAAGACCAACAGACCACCAAGAAGCCCAGGGTCGACGAGCACCTGATCATTGAGCTCTCCCTGAAAGAGTCGGTGGACTTCAACTGCTCGACCCTCTATCCGGCCAGGTTCAGGCGCGTGGGCCTCGTGGGCAAGTCGAGGAGCAAGGAGCTGGCTTTCAAGAACCTGGCTGGCGGCAACTAGGTCAAGATGAGGAAGGCCATGGCTTCACAGTGGGACAAGTGGCTGGCGTTCAACGCCGTGCGGCACTGTTTCAGGGAGGGGCTCGCCCAGCTCAAGCGCAAGCGGCCACAACGCAAGATTGTTGGCACCAGGTGGATCCTGACCGAGAAGGACGCGAATACCTTCAAGGCGAGGTTGGCGGTGCAAGGGTGTCAGGAGAACGACCTGGGCATCCGCGCCGACGCTCCGACCGGGAGCCGAGACGCATTTTGGCTTGCGGCTCGGTTCGCAGTTCAGCATGGCTGGGGTGGCGCTTTCTTCGATGCCAGAACCGCCGACTTGCAGGCAGAGGGCATCGACCGCGTTTTGATCCAGATGCCGCTGGAAAACCCTCTACCAGGCACCACTCCAGCACAAGACTTCTTCGCGACGGGCAGCATTTATAGTGCGAAGAATGCTAGGAGAGCCTGGTATTTGCGTTTGAAGTCAGTTCTCAGGGAGTACCAGACTCATGAAAGCAAACTGGAACGAGGTTGGTACTACTTGGCTTACCAAGGCGATAGATTACTGTTCATCCGTTCTTGCGTGGGCGACATGTTTTTCGCCTGGAGACGGTCCAGAACCTACGTCCTACGTCCTAAGCGCTTGCACCTTGCCAAGAAAGCCGGCGAAATTGACTACCTGGGCACGAACATGCAAATGACGCCGGGTTACATGCATGTGACCTGGGAGAAGGCGATCAAGGCGATCGAGTACACCCCCATCGACGCGAACCGCATGAAGGCCCTCGAGTCAGAAGCGACACCGGAGGAGGTCAGCAGTTTCAGGACGACCAACGGCCAGGCGCAGTGGGTTGCGACGAGATCTCGGCCAGATGCGGCCTGCAAGCAGAACTCAGCCCAGCGTATCAGCTGGCTGAAAGTCCAGGACCTCGTCAACCTCAAACAGTTGGTCACCCAAGCCAAACAAATTCCGACGCTGGGAGTTCGGCTTGTTCGAGGACGGACTCGCGTCCTACTGGCGCAGCTGGCGTTCTACGGGGACTCTGCCTTCGCCAATGCCGAGGACGAGCGGTCGCAGTGGGGGCTCGTCGGGGGCTTGACCCACAAGCCCGAAGGGGTCCACCAGGGGAATTTTGACGAGCTGATCCCGCTCACCTGGCGCCCAGGACGCGTCTGGAGGGTGGTGCGAAGCACCCTCAGCGCAGAGGCCCATGAAATCAGCGAAGCTTCTGACTATACCGAGTAGCATCGCCAGGTGCTGACAGAGCTGAAGATGGCGGCTAAGTTCGGAGGCCCACCGAAGCTGAAGGACGTGGAGCGCCAGGCGGACAACATCAAGATGACGACCTTCACGGACAGCAAGAACTTGGAGGAGATGGCGGAGAAGGACGCCGGAATCGCCCAGGACAAACGCCTGAGGATCGCGGTCAGCATGCTGAGAGAGACCTTAGCCCCAACGGCCTCGATCCTGCGGTGGATTCCCAACTAATGCGATGGTCGCGGACGTTCTCGCCAAGGTGACGCACGTGGGCATGCTGATGGCGTTCATGTCCGGGCGCGACGTGAAGTTCACTGCCCCAGCTCCGAAGTCGAAGAAGCTCATACAATTGCTGACGATAGCAACGTCGGCCGTGCCAGGCGCCGGCTTCGAACTCTGGCCGATCGAGAAGACGAGTACAATCCGGGCCAGCCAAGACCCGACCATCCTGAAGTCGTGCAGTCGTGAAAGCTACGCAGTGAGTTGGCTCTATTATTTGCAGGGTGTGGCTTTCGGTTTCATGTTGACTCTCTTCTGTCTGCTGGTCTATGTCGTGGTCCAAACCTTTAAATCCATGCAGTCAGGGCCGCAAGAGATTGCCCAGCAAATGGAGAGATCAGGATCAAGCCGACCCGCTTTTTCCCTGGATATTGATAATCCCTGCATTCTGCTCCAATGCTATATCAAGATCAGGGGCTCCGCCAAATTCATGACAAAAAAGAATGTTCCGTCAAGCTGACTAAAGAAGTCTGTATAAAGTGAGGAGGCCGGCCGGCTGGCCGACGCGCGCGCAGGCTGGCTCGCCCCTTTTCCGATACTCTTAAGCCAAGCAGCTGCAGGCGAGTAGCGCGCAGAGTGCGGCAGCGACGAGTCAAGGCAGGGGCTGCAGGCTGGCGGCGCGGAGAGGAGTGCGTTGGCTCCCCCCGCGGCGGGGCGTGCAGGGCCGCCCCGATCCCCCACCCACGCGGCCTGCACATATGAACAGCCACGGGAGCTAACGCCAAAAACAATTTGACGGCTCGACCGTGGGTGCCGAGGGGCAAGAAACCGAAACAACCCGACGAACCCCACCAGAGCAATATTTAAGGCCAGCTCACGCCACAAAAGGCCCCCCACTCCGATCGCACCCACATCGCGTTGACGAAGCCAAGCGACGTGGGACTGATGCCGACGAAATCGTACCAGTCCGTCTGCAAGAGATCACCCCCGCCACCCTTCTTCTCGGCGCTGAGGACGATTCCATTCATAGCCGGTCTGCCAGCTCCACTGAGATTGATCTCGCTGACGGCGGTCGTAAGGGTCTTTGCCGTTTCCACCGCCCAAGCCGCTGCACTCGCACTTGCTCTTGCCCTTGTCGACCGGCCTCGCCCTAGGCGTCGGCGGCGGCGGCGGCGCGGGCATGGATGCAGAGGCGGTTCTCAGTGCTTCACGAGCTTGATCATCTGAGACTGGGTTTCCCGCGGGTGCATCTCCTTTTCTGACCCGTGATCTCCCGCGAATTCTGCGTTGTACTCCTCCACGGCGAACCAAAATCATGTTCTTTCGCTCCTCGTTATCTGCCGATGGCGATCCACATGAACCCAATATCCCTTGCCGTTGCCGTTGTCGTCCTTGTCAGCGTGATCCAGCGGAGGGCCCCGGCCGCCATCGCGCCCGCGGCGGCCTGCATCATCTACGGGTTCATCAGCCCACGCAAGCGACCGATCCCATTCGCCCCATTCGGTAGGGGCTCTACGCGACCTCTGATCGCGGTCAGGGTCGCTGCCCGACGCGGCTCGGCCTGTGGACACTGGGTCGTGCGGAGCTAGCCTCGAGGCGCGTCTCTCATTCCAGCCAGTCCGAGCCCCCTTAATGGCATCCGTAGGACGCCTCGGAGGTGTTCGTGGATTCCGTGTCCTTTCCCACTCCGAAGCGGCAGAGCCACCAGGAGCATCGGCACCCGTGCCCGGGGCTATTGGGTCGTCAGAATGCTCGACACCAGCTTCCGTGGCGACTGGGACGTCGGGAGCTGCCGGGGAAGGTTCGGCTGGGCCGACTTCCTGGGTGATGTTCCTTACAGATATGATGATTCCGATGGCTGTGTCCGTAACCAAAAATCCATAACGGCCGATAGCCAACCGAGCTCTCGCAATGGGGGCGATTTCGCGAGATGTGTTCATGAACTCTATGGCATTGAATGTCAACACAGCAACGTCGGACTGCACCACGGCACTCGCTGCTTAAACCTTCGGCCCACGTCTCTAGCAAGTCTGACGATTTAATCGTCGACCTGACACGGCTGCCCAGCGCAAAGGCGTCGGTCAACCTAGGACTGGGGGTAATACATTCAGCGCTCGTAGGTCACTGCACTTCGTGGCCTGGAAAAGCAGCATGAAGTCCGTCTGCCATGAACGAGAGTACCTCTTCACGAATGGCCAGAGGGACTCGTCCCCATCGCTGATGCGTGGGGACCCTATTGCTGGGTTCATCCCACATTCTGTCGATGATTTCGGTTAGTCCTGGCGGCACATCGTGAACCGCATCCGTCTCCAGTCGCATTTCAGCGCCTGGTGTGGCCAACTACTCAAGAATAAGCTGAACGGCAACGTTAATAACATCACGTCGATTGGTAACGACATGCGCCTTTCCATCGCCCCACTCAAAGTGTCGATCCGTATTCGCATTTTTCAATGGGTTGTACAACGGATCCCGCATCGCTTCAGACATATGTCCCCTAAGGGGAACTAGATCAAGCCAAAAAGGCAGTGGCAATCCAGTTGTCTCCAGTTTGAGACGTGTTGGCACAATGCCTCCGGGCATAACGCCCCCTGATGCTTCTGCAAGCTTATCGCGAGCCACAATCACGCCTGCCTGCTGGCTGGGCCGGATGCAAAGCGATGCAATTACTCGATAGTTATTGTCTCCAACAGTGACCAGAATAGGCGCATCGACGCGGCTCAGCCGTTCGGTGAGCGCATCTACTGTTGGGATTTCCGCGCCCGTTTCTCGCCGACTCATCGCCCACTGATCCCATCCTTCAGTCGGTTGAAATTGTTTACTACCTGCACGGGTCCAATGAAAAAACGGAAAGAGCGGGACATTGAAATGGGTTAGCATACTGATCTACGTCGGAAGTCCATACTAATGGCCACCATGTCGCAGCGGTAGGAGCCGCTTTATTCTCCAGCTCTGCATTGCGTGCAAGCCAACGCATGAAGCGAAGCTTCAATGGTTCGAGGAATTGGAAGAAGGGTTCGTGACGCGCTGGCGGATGAGCCGCAACGCTATCGGGGACCCAGGTTGGGGCGGTTCCTGGCTATTGGTTGGAAAAGGTCTGACCTCCCTTAGCGAATCTCAGGCGAGCCCCCTCTTTGTTTCAAACCATGTGCGTTGATGTTATTCGGTTTGATTCAAGTGTCCAATGCGTCAATGGAGCTCTTCTTCATTTCCCTCCGGTCTTTTCCAATCACGAGCGATTCGGTTTCCTTGCTCGGGCAATCTACAACGTAGATTTTAACCCCAAGCTTGCCCATGCACCCATTCATCAGCAAGAGCTTGTCTGCCAAGGTTCGTGAGATAATTCTTCTGGACGCTGTATTGGTACAGAACCGTCGTCCGACAATGGAAACAATAACTTGTCCGAACTCGCACAGAATGGTAATTCTTGCAAATGAAATCTCCCGTCGTCGGTCCACGGCTTGGTCCTTGTGAGCCGGAGCTCTTCTGCGTCCAAATGAATGTCGTTGCCGTCGGGTCGTATCTCCTCATCGGTAAACGTCCACCCTCTGATTGAATCAGGCGCGAATGCAACCTCGAAGCCAGTCCATTGTTGGGAGAAAACTAAAATCTAAACCACCTGGGGTGTAGGACCCTTGGTAGAATTGAATTTCACAATTCGGACTATATCGTTAAATCGTGCCTTTTCCGTCGTCGAAAGCGCACCGTCACGACAGATTCGGTATCGAAGGCGTCCCGTTACACGCCCCTAGAAAATACTGACGCAAGAGCAAATAGCACGCCGAACATTTGCACGTTTCCAGAGCATTGGCGTGACGCTAGACGGCCGCGCACCTGAGTTTGGAGGCCCCTGTTCTTTCGAGGCGGAGCCGGGACTCGAATAAGTCTTGCCCAGCGGGCCCCCCCCCCCATCCCTCCGCTGGCGGAGCCAGGGGGGGATGCGCTCACTCTGCTCTTCTGGGAAATCACGCCTTGTCGGAAGTAGACGTAGAAGTCCGTAATCGCGTTCCTTTCACAGTCCGTGTTTTAGCAGGGAATCGAAAGGTTCTTTCTCCTGCCACCGAGTCCTTGATGGCATCGATGCTTGTCGCATGCAAAAGCGATCCATGGCATTTCGCCAGGCCAAATTCATGCGGAGCGTGCGTGCGCGCGCTCGATGTTGTGAACAAAACATGAATGTCCCTGGCACGCGCGATAGAGAACGGGAATTGGCCTGCGTTCCCGCTTTTCCCTTTCGGTGGTAACTATTTCATTCCCGTTATCCCCGTCGACGACTGAGTCGTGAGAGGCAGGTGGATTAAGGAATTCTTGTCAATATTCCTTCAGCTTTGAGTCTCCCAAGGCGTCAGGGTCCTGGGCCTTGATTCCTGGGACCTCCACTGCCCCGGGCGGTAAAGCGGCTAAGCCGTGCACGCGAGGGCTGTCGTAGAATGCGCTATTCCGTCGGCTTCCATTTTAGCGACGTGGTCTCCGAAATATACCCATCCCCCGGACGACCGGGCGCAGTCCGAGTCCGAACAGCGTCTTGCCAAGTGAGTCGCACGCTCCCCGGCACCAATTGCAATGGCATTATTGCGATGACTGCATCTCCTCCAAAAATTGTCACTTCCCCACACGAAGGAGTTCTCTGCGCCCATTTCTGCTACATCGGCTAAGCCGGGAGCATCAGTGGGCATCGCAAGGATGAAAATGCTGCGTGGGTCGTCTGGGGTAGACAGCCCGGCCAATCATCTGAATCATATTCTGCTCGGAGGAATGAGACAGCCTGTGAGAACTCTTCCTTGGGAAGCTCTCCCATCAATGTAAACGCGGGGCCATGAACCAATTCAGAATTTCCTCGAACAGCGTTGCGAGTGCGCCCGAGCATCGCTGCGGCGCGGGGCGGCGACGGGCCAGCCCTATGAATTTCGAAAATCTGCTTCTGAAGCTCGTGAGATGTATCCTGACGTATAGTCTCTCGCTCGGCATCCCTGAGATATAATTCCCCCCCTGCTCTGGGCAATTTTGCATGGTTGGCGCTTCTCCTCCTTCCAGGGGGGCCCCGTTCCTTCGGACGAAGCTGCTTATGCTCAGGGGATGGCGGAACAGCTGCACGCAAAAACAACTTGACCGGTCCCGCCCTGGCTTCCGCGCCCTCGGCAAGTTGAGAAGTCAGGTAGAACCTGCCCCCCTTATGGGGGATGCTCAGCGGTGCATCAACCGCTGATGTTGGACTCCCAAGACCGCTCTCTTCTCCGCCTTCTGAAACACCTTTAGCGTCGTCTTCAGCACCGGTTAAACCGGGCTGTACAACAAGCGCAGTAGCTCTCAGCGTCTCGGGGACTTCGCGAGATATCTTGAAATCCTCATAACGGCCAACAATAAACAATCCGGTCACATTGGCCCAATTCTTATAGGGCAGTGGGTATTCGTTTGGTTCGTTCGCTTTTCTCCCAAACTCTTCCACATAACGTCGAACTCAGGTGGCCAAATCCTCATTGAGGTGTTGAACCTCCATCGCCGTCAAAAGTCTTACACCTTGAGTTTGGCCTCCATTAGGGCTAACGTGCCAGGGCCAATTCAATTCATTTCCCCATGAAATCCCGCGCGTGGAGTTGGAGTGCAAATGCACGGAACCCCTGATCCGCACGTAGAGGAAGGAGGGAAAGATAGGGATCTTTTCCTCCTGTGCGACCACCAGCGCCCTGGTCTCTTCCAGTACCTGAGCCGATAGGGCAGGCAAAAGGGCGAGTGAGGAGTAGAGACGAGGTTATGAGACGGGTTCCTTTCACACGCCCCGCCCCGAATCCCGCCCGCGCGGGCAGGGCTCGGGAAAAGGAAGAAAGAACCCGTCACCCTCTTACTCCTTAAAGCGCACAAGTAGCAGGGCGCAAAAGTATGTAGCGCCTCTGCTACGTCCCGAACACATCAGCAGTGCGCCCAAGTACGTGGCGCCTCTGCTGGTGTGAACGGGCAAGGCGAGGACGACGGAGCATCCAAGTGTCCATAATCCTTTTCCGAACACACTTTGGCGCCCCTCGGTGCGCCCCAAAAAAACGCTTCGGCACCCGAGGGTTGAGAGGAATGGGACACGGATGAACAGAGCAAGAGGATCTGAGCGATCTAGAACAACGTCAAAAGCCGCTGCGTCCAGCCTCGTTAGTACAGGAAGGACGCAGCGGGTGTTGCCACCAGCATCAAGCAAAAGCTGGGTATATCATCAAACTCAAAGCTCCGTCATCTGTAGTGCG